AAAAAAAAAAAAAAAAAAAAAAAAAAAAAAAAGAGGCAGGGCCTCTAGGAAGTGATTAGGCAATGAAGGCAGAGCTTTGTGGCACCTTATAAAAGGACTCAAGGGAACTAGTTTGTCCCTTTTTTACTCTTTTGCTATATGAGGACACAGAATTTGTGGCCTCTGAAGGACAGAGCAACAAGGCACCAACTTGGAAGCAGAGCACGGGCCCTCACCAGACACCAAACCTGCCAGTTTTTTGATCTTGGACTTCTCAGTCTCCAAAATTGTGAGAAATAAAATTCCATTGCTAATAAATTACCCAATCTCAAGTATCTTCTTGCAGCAGCACAAAATAGATGGAAACATCTCTATACATTGGTTTTTCTTAATTAGACTAATATGCCTCTGAGGAGCAGAGACATGTACATTTTGCATACTAGCGTGCATAGAAAAAAAAGTGAAGATGCTGACATGTGTGGCCAAGCATAAAATCTATAGCTAAAATAATAGTATGAAAAGATACTGACTGTTAAGACATTTTATTTTTTTTTTTTTTTTGAGTTGGAGTCTCACTCTGTCGCCCAGATTGGAGTGCAGTGGCCGCTCCTGGCCACTGCAGCCTCAACCTGCTGTGCTCCGGTGAGCTTTCCGCCTCAGCCTTCCAAGTAGTCGGAATTACAGGCATGCGCTACCACGCCCGGCTGATTTTTTGATTTACTGTAGAGATGAGGTCTCGCCAAGTTGCCCAGGCGGGTTTCGAACCCACGGGCTCAGGCAATCCACTCACCTCAGCCTCCCAAAGCACGGGATTACAGGCTGAGCCACTGAGTCTGGCTTGACATTTTCAAATGTGATAAAGTGGCTAGCAGGAAGAAGTAGCCTTAATGATGTGGTAGAAATCACAGTAGAATAGGGCACATGAACTTTACAAAGGCAGGCATGAATCTGAATTCCAGCTGTATCCCTTATCAGCAGGGGAACTTTGAATAAGCTCCATAACTAATATTTGAGCCCTCATTTTTCTTACTTGTAAAAGAGATAAACTATTATCACAAGGGTTTATAATCAGTGTTAAATAAGATCATATATGTAAAATTCTAGTGCCGTGCCTGACATCTATCATGCATTCAGTGATGTTAAGTACTTTCCCATACTCCCTCTCCCATTCAGGTGCACATTAAATAGCTCTCTACATTGAGTGTTACGTGCTAGGGAATATATGAAGCACTTTAAGTATAATATTTAATTCTATGACAGCATTTGGTAGTGACAGGTAGGTTTTATTATCCCTGTTTTTGCAGAAGAAGAAATAGAGACTTACCAACTTCAGCAAGAGAACTTGCCTGAGGTCACATGCTTAGTAAGTAGCAGATTCAGCGTTCAAATCAAGGTATGCTAGACTCTGAATGGTTACCAGTAATTGATTGGCATTGTAAAAGAAAATACTAACTAAAATAAGATGTGAGAAATAATCTAAAAGCTGTCTATAGATATGTGTCTACTTCCCTATTCTCTATCTTTCTTTCTTTCTTTCTTTTTTTGAGTTGGAGTCTCACTCTGTTGCCCAGACTGGAGTGTAGTGGCTGCTCCTGGCCACCGCAGCCTCAACCTGCTGGGCTCCGGCGATCCTTCTGCCTCAGCCTTCCAAGTAGCCAGAACTACAGGTGCGTGCTACCACGCCCGGCTAATTTTTTGATTTATTGTAGAGATGAGGTCTTGCCAAGTTGCCCAGGTGGGTCTCGAACTCGCAGGCTCAGATAATTCACTCACCTCAGCCTCCCAAGGCGTGGGATTTCAGGCTGAGCCACCGAGCCCAGCTTCCTCTATCTTTCAATAATAGTTCTAGAAAGAATGAAAACAATGCAAGACAAAAGGCTGAACTGTATCAAATAGAGGACTTCCAGAAGGCTCATACCTCTTTTCTGATCATGACATCATTTTTGTAATTGCTGTTGTTTGCATATCTCAGTTTCCCTGTGAGGAACAAAAACAATTTCAATGTACAATAAAAACATATGAATAAAGAATCATTAGCTTACCAAGACTATCAGGTATTGTCTAAAATGTATACTAACTTGCACTTTAAAGTGTTTAACAGATTTACTATTTACACCTTTGGTGCTTCAGCAATACTAGTCTTTTCAGTGCTTCACTTCAGGCTATTAAAAAGCTTCACAACCAAACATACAGCTGACACTGAATTATAATTCTAACAGAAGGCAGCTCAGGTATGGCAAAAGAACACAGGCAGTCTCTTTTCTGGCTTTGGTAAATCACATTTCTGCAGGTTAATGTCCTTAGCTGATAACAGGAACAGTAACTGATAACTTACCTCCACACAGGACCTGCTGAGGTTCAAATGAGTTTTGAAAACTGTAAGGTGCCATTTACATGTATTATCATGTGACTATGCAACACTCTATTTCTGTGATGGAAAAGTTGTGGTTTTATCATTGAACACATTTGGTAGACAAGACTTTTTGTGCACTGTGGATCTAACAGGTTAATTTGAGTATATGACTGGTATGAAGGAGAAAAAGAAACAGAAGATATGACTTTTTTCCTTGTAGACTAGAAGACACATATGTAAAAAAGGGGCCAAATTAATTTCCAACAGCCTCTGCACTGCCTCTCTGCCTCAAGTCTCTTCTCTTTCAATTTACTCTCCTGAGTGGATAAGGTGATGTAGTAACAGACCTATCTGATTAGGTTAATCTTTTGGTACAGTCAATGGCTTCCCACTGCCTTCCTGATAAAATCTGAATTCCTCAACATAGCACAGAGCTCACTTGCGCCCCTGCCGGCCTTTCCAGTCTCACTCCTGCAATATTCCTCTCTCACATTGCTATAGTCAATCAAACTACTTTGTTTTTGCCTGAAACATCCCAATTGCTTTCTGGTTTTCAGCCTCTTTGCTGTTATTGCTGTCCAAAATGCCTTCTTTACTCTCCTTGGTCTCCTAACCAAAGTCCTACACATTACTGCACATCTCCTCCCCACACCCTCCATGCCATGTTATGTAGGAAGCCTTCTCTGACCTCCCAGGCTGGGTCAGGTGTCTGCTTTCTGTTCTTAGAGTCCCATGTTTCTTTCTACCAAATCAAATACATTGTTTTGTCACTGTTTACAAATCTCTCTCTCTCACAGTTGGGGCCTGTCAGATTCCTCTTCATTCCTCATTTGGGGGTATTTTCTGTCATCTTTGATTCCTCTTTCTTTCACCATAGCACCCTCTCCCAAATTCTATCGATAAGCAAAGTCCAACTGGTTCTGTCTCCAACAATATCCTAAATCCTTTTCTCCATTTCTACCACCTCCCTAGTCCCAGTCAACATCTCTTTTGTCTTGACAACTTTAACTGTCTCCTAATCAGCAGCACTGCATCCACTCTTGCCCATTCTGCACCCAAGAGCTAGAATACTTTTTCAAGAACAGATCATATCTTTTCTCTCTTTTCCAATTCGAAACTCTTTACCACGTTCTATAAAGATCTACAGGGTGTAGTTCCTGCCTACCCATCCAATATCATCTCCCACTATTCTCCCCTGGCGCTCATTACTCTTCAGCCACACTACCCACAGGAAACATGCCTAGCTAATTCCTGCTCTAGGGCCTTGCCACTTGCTACTCCCTCTATGTAAAGTGCTCTTCCTCCTAAGCCTCCACAAGATCGGCTCCTTCTTGTCAATCAGGGCTCAGTTCAAATATCCTCTCTTCAGAGCTCTCTAATAGCCACTCGATCTAAATAAGCAGCCCATCCAGCAGTTATCCTATCATTTTGTTTTCTGACCACTCATCACTATCTGGAATTATCTTTTTGTTTATGATCTCTCTCCTCTTTTCCAGCACTAAAACACAAGCTCCGTAAGAGGGTAAGCTTGCCTATCTTCGCTACTGTTATCCCCACAGAGTGGAACAAGCCTGGCACAAAGTGGACGTTCGATTAACGTGTGCTCAATGAAAGCACTCTGGTTTAAAAAAAAAAGTCAGTAAACAATAAGCCCCTGCACATGGACAGAGAGACTCAGTGGAGCAGACACAGGAGTGTCCCTTTCAGACCCAAGCCGTGCTGGTCTCAATGCCTTCCTCCCCTAGCTCCCCACCCATTCCGGACCCCCGGCCTCCCAACCCGTCCTCCCCAAGGCCTAGTCCCCGCTTCCAGAGGGCGGGAAGTTGCTTTTACCGTCGGGTCTGAACTCAAATTCCAAGAACTCGTGGCCGAACTTGCCCTTGTGGCCCACGTAGTAACGCAGATAAAAGTCACTCTCCATGGCTCGCAAAAGGCAACCAAGACTAAACTTTATCAGTGAGCACCACGGTCGGCGCCCAACACAGGCGTTTCCGGCGGCGCGCGGAAGTGACGTCAGGCAAGGCCGTAGTCTGTGCCCCTCTCCGCCCGGAAGTGGGGACTAGAGTGCCACGCCCCTCGCCCCAGGCTGGGTCAAGGAACCCCGCCCCTCCGGCTTGAGGCTGAAGCTTAGGGAAGGTTCTTCCACCGGTTCCTCACCTGGCCTGAGGCTGAAAGCCGCCTGCCGAGCTCCGGGCTTTGACCCCGAAGTCTGCAAGACCCCGCTTGAAGACTTCGGGCCGAACACCCTGAGCCTGCGTCCTCCAAGCTCAACCTCAGCGTAAAGGACACTCGACTTGTCGATTTGTGTGAGTCGCACGGGGCGCTTCGGCTCGCTTGTCCCGACCTCGCTGGAGGACGCTGCGCCGTGGTGTGTGTGTCTAAAGTTGGCCTCAACTGCCCTTTACTGTTTCCGAAAACCCTTCTCAGTGACGCTTTCCCTGAATCCACAGTGGAGATTGCCGTTTCCCCGGAACTGGCTCGTCGGCACTTATCCCGCTTTGTATCCCTTTCCCTTTTCTTTCTCTTTCTACCCCACTGGCTTCTAGAATAGGCGCTGTGAGAAGTTAAACTGAGTATTTGATCGGGATCCCATTCCCACTGGAATCACTTTGGAGTCCTCTAAAAAATACTGATGCCCGGGCCTCACTCAGACCAATTAAAATCTCCATCGGTGGTCCTGAGCATTGGTACGTTTTGTGAAGCTCCCCGGGTGAGTCAGAGTTGAGGCCCACGGTCCAAGAGGCTCTTTGTTTTCAGCCAAAGTGGTTGTCCTCTGTGAAGGCCTTCTGGCCTTGGAAACAGTTTCTAGTTGAGTAGGCCCAGGGCAATCAATTTCGGCCTTCTTATGGCCTTCATAATTATAGGAGCCTACTTTAGCTCGTCTAAATTCCAGCCACAGAGAGAATGGTTCTAGAGTCAGTGCTGAGATGACATCTTTCTTGGGGCCTGGCGACCATGACTGTATATAGTTCTGCAAACCAGGCCAGCAGTCTCAGTCTCACTCCCAGAAGTACCACGGAGTCCCTTTTTCCCTGAAAAAGCATTGGTAGTAGAGTGCAAAGTGCAAAGGGGGAAAAATCGTTGGAAACTTGGGTTAATATAACCCCTTGTGTAATAGTGCTTCACTATGACTGGAGGTGAACTGATTCAACTTTTTAGGTCTCTGTTTCCTCATCGTTAAAATAAGCATAATAATGGACACCTGGCACAAAGAAACAACGCCTTGGAAAAAATTTTGCAAACTGAATTGCTATAAAACCACAAGGCATTTGTATTACAAAACACTGGATATGAGTGGTAACAAGGAAATTGTATTTAAAAAGAGAAGGGAACCACCAGATATTAAGCACCTAATAAATGTCAGCCCCTAGGCTGGGCCCGATTACATGTGCTTGTTCTTTGAATCATCACTACAGTCTTGAGTTGGTAATTGGAGTTAAGTATATTGAAGTATCAAGCAATTGCTACAAGGTTATTTTCCAAAAGTAAAATTACAATAGGTGAATCTGAGCATCTGCAGATGAGGCAAATAACAAAAATGCTGAGACATGTAAAGGACAATCCACTTCAGCCAGGCTGTCAAGTTATCCAGCATTATTTATTGAGGCTCTACCATGTGTCATATGCAGGAGAAACATGATGGTGAGCAAGACAGATCTTTATAGCTTGCAGAGGAGGCAGTTAGGAGCACATGAGCAGTTACAATGTAGGGATAAGATTGCCAACAGGGGAAGTGCCAAATGATATGGGAGCACGTGGAATGGCTCCTAGTCCAATCCAAGAGTCTAAGGAAAATATTCCTGAAGGAAATGTTCCAGGCAGAGGGCCCAGAACTGTTGTGATTAGAATATAGAGTAGTGAGTGATGAGGCTGGAGATGGGGCAGAAGCCAAATCACAAAGCACCTTACAAGCCGTATTAGAGTTTGAAGGCGGCCGGGCGTGGTGCCTCACACCTATAATCCTAGCACTTTGGGAGGCTGAGGTGAGAGGATTTCCTGAAGCCAAGGGTTCGATACCAACCCGGGTAACTTGTCAAGACCTCATCTCTACAATTAATAATAATAACAATAATAAAGCTGGGCATAGTGGCGTATCCCTGTAGTTCCAGCTACTTGGAAGGCTGAGGCAGAAGGATCACCTGAGTCCAGCAGGTCGTGGCTGCAGTGGCCATGAGTGGTGTGTAACTGCACTCCAGCCTGGGTGACAAAGTGAGACCCCAACTCCAAAAAAAAGAATTTGGGCAAACCCAAGAATATTGGATCTTAATGCCAGTGAAGCATTGGGAGGGCTTTAAGCAAGAAAGTGGAAAGAGTTGGTAGTGACATGATCTATCACACAAGATCACTTTAGCTGCTATATTGTAGGTTGGGTTGGAAAATGAAAAGACTAGAAGAAATTCAGATAAGTAATTGTCAAAGTAGTCTGTGCTGTGGTATCCAGGATAATGGTGATCTGTACTTAGCTAGTGGCAATGGCAATAGAAAGGACATGGATTTGAGGTGGCATACTGCAAGGGGTGGGCAAAGGAGACTAAGATGTGGTCAGAGAGATTGGGGGAAAACCACAAGTATGGTGTCATGGAAGCCAAAATAAGAATATTCTGCTGGGCATGGTGGTTCATACCTGCACTTTGGGAGGCTGAGGGAGGAGGACTGCCTGAGCCCAGGAGTTCAACACCAGCCTTGGTGGCATGGTGAGACCTTGTCTCTACAATAAATAACTTAAAAAAAAATTAGCCAGGCGTGGTAGTCCATGCCTGTAGCCCCAATTGGAAGTCTGAGGCGGAAGGATTTCCTGAACCCAACAGGTTGAGGCTGCGTTAGCCTGGGTGAGAGTGAGACTCTGTTGTTTTTTTTTTTAAAAGAATATTCCAAGAAAAAAGTGGCCAACGGTATTAAATACTGTCTCCAGGTCAAGAAAGATGAGCACTGAAAGGGTTTTCAAGATTTATAATAAGGAGGTCCTGGATGACCTTGGTAAAAGCAACCCTAATGGCATGGGAGTGAGTGGCAGGGCAGTAGTATTGGGATGCAAATAGGAAAAATTGTTATGGAAGCACAGAGGTGAGTTGCCTAACCTAGTCTGAGAGGACAAGAAAGGCTTCCAGGAGGAGGCATTACCTAAGAAAGTACTTGAGGACAAATAGAAGTTAGCTAGAGAGGTAGAGAAGGAAAATTTAGGCAGAGAATGCTACATATGCAGTTGTTCTTTGAGGGCACCAAAAATAACCTTGTAACTTCGGGCAGTTACTTCATCCATGTCCTCATCTATAAAATAGGAATGGATAATATTGTATTTTCTCGTGTGATTGCTGACAAAGATGGAGACAATTTATGTAGAATACCTGATACACATTAGGGACTCGATTAGTTCGCTTCCGCCCCTCTTTAAAGCATTACAATGAAACAGTCCTTCCAGGTTTAAAAAAATGAATTTAATCTCTAGAAACAGTGCACTGATTTTACAAATGTCCACATTTGGTTTTCAATTCACCAAGATGATGTCAGTACAGCTAGTGAGACGCAGCACACCACCCTCAGTGCCTTTGCCTCTGGAAGATAAGCCAGACTGCAGAGGACACTGAGTACAGAAGCTAAGGGAACTTGAAGTGACAAGACAGAGCAGAATCGTTAGTGTGACGCACCATTCTAACACGCCTAATTGTTACATCAATACCATAATTTGGGGTCTGGTGGGGGAAGACAAACAAGGAAAGTCCACTTGGGTACAATGTGATAGGTGTTTGCAAACCAGCACTTTACCCTAAAATTAGCAAGTTTCTGTAGAACAAAATGCTATTTTAAACATACATGGTTTGTACAAGTATTTGGAGTTTTTGTAAAAAAAGTATCAAAACCTTATCTTTAAATATATGTGTGTATATATATATATGTATATATATATATATATATATACACATATATATACATATATATATACAGGTGGCTTTTTAAAAATTACTTTTTATAGCACAAAGTGTAAATGCAGAGGGTTTCTGTTGACTCTTGACTGTGCACATGGTGCATAGCCTGAATGAACAGAGCTTCCTGATTTTTTAAATATTAACTGAAAAATTGAAGCTGTAATTCTTCCACCTCCTATATTTTCCATATCCTGAAAATCTCCAATACCCTAAAAATACCGTGTAAGAAGACTCTAACACTGTTTTCAAGCATTTGTGGGAAAGGAAATTTCCTCTGAAACTTCTGATGCTAACTCATTTATAATCTGTGACATGAGTGTATGGCTGGAGTTTGGGGTGGGGTGCAGATGCTTGCATTCCAGTGCTCTTTCCCCATTCCCACCAGTGTCTGACTGGACAGCGATCAAGACATCCCTTCCAGATCCACATCTTCAAATTTTCCAGTTTTCTTTCTCACAGTTGAGAAAATCTAAGACATGGCAACATGGCATGCTTCTGTGAAAATCCCACTGCTCTTATATTAGTTTTCATTGACCATAAAAAAATCTTTGACTCAAATATATGAGTTGTCAACATTTCCCTTTGGCCACCGGAAAGCTTGAGGCTGAATAATGTACTGTCTGCAAAGTGCTGGCAATGCATCCTGATGAATTTTCCATGATGCACTTAGTGCCCTGTACACAGTGACCAAGAAATACTTGCTTAGTTGAATCAAAAAGTAATATAAGTATTTTATAAAGTGCTTACATTGAACCTGTCCTTCCATCCGGCCTAATTTCTTGCTAAGTCCCTGTTGAATCTTTTGTTCCTGTTATAATGAACTACACACAGTTCCTTAAAGTCCCCATGCTGTTTCAAGCCTTTTTGTCTTAGCTCAGTGTTTTCTCTGCTTGAAGAAGCTAGTACACTTAATTTTTAAGACTTAGCTTAAGGTCACTTCTATGATGACTTCATTCCTCATATTCTCAGGTAAAATGACCCCTTTCTCCTTTGTACCCTAACCATGCTCCAAACAGAATCTATTCCTCTGTTTTTGCACTTACATCTTCCTCTACTGCTACTGTGAGCTCTGTAAGGATAAAATGTTTGCTTGATCTTTACGTCTGCAGTGCCAGGCACATAATTTGGTACCTAGTGTTTGATTTTAGTGAATGAATATACTGCAGTCATGTAGAGGGATCAGTCATACTTATTGCCATAAATTTCAATCTGATCTCATTCTTTTTGCCAGTTGAGGTTACAGGTTACTTCAGTCTGTTTTATAAATAATCATGCTATCGAGAGTAAATAAATAAATTTTTAGTTTTCCCTGTTTCTGGAAGGCCATTTCAGCCAGTGCTTTTATAATTCCACTGGAAAGATAGGCCATCAGATAGGTAGCAGGTTTGATACAATGTTCTGGCCGCCCAAAGTAGTCTGGAGAAGGAAAGGGGGGAAATGAACTTGGAACTGCTTCTGATACATTTTCCTGCTCTCTTGGCATTATCTGAGCTTCCTTCCAGCTCTGTAGTCCAGAGACTCTGTGATCTGTTACTGGCCATAGGTACACATGCAGAGGGAGCAAAAGGCAACAGAAGTGTAACTAAACCACAAAAGGAGGCTCAAAGCTCCATGAATAGGGGGACGATGGATCTGATTCCTCAGATTTCATCTTATTTATGGCCATCCAACACATGAATATTTCACAATTTGTTTCTTGTAGGTTGCTCCCATGGCTGCCTTTTTCAAACTGCCATTGTAGCATATTCAGGAAACATGATGTCTCTGAGAAAGTTGTGGATTTCATCATCGTTTTGAGATTTCAGGCTGCATGTCCAGATCCCATTCATTTTTCTGTAAATGCCAGGATCTGACTAAAACTTAAGAAACTGTACGTTAGTCGTTATTATTTAATTCCCTGGGAAATTCAGTTTCTTTGGAGGAAGGTTACAGAAAGTCACCTGTTTTGTGTAAATTTCAGTGTTTTTCACGGTCATTTTTCTTCAGTCAAAAATAATTTTACTTTCCATTCTTGAAAGAATAGTAGTAAGTAATTAAGCTCCACAGGAGTTGGCCACCTGTTTTTGAAATCCTGTTTGGTATTGGTCATTATAGGTCAACTTCATTTACCCTCTCAATGAATGTTTTGGGACTGTCAACGCATGCATATCATGAGGAAATTGCTGGCTTATGCAAAACATAGTGCCCACGCTGCAGAATACAGTTATTTTCTTAGAGGTGAGACCAGGAATAACGTTGAGGAAGGTTCTGGGAACAGGATGATAGAACTCCACAATGGCAGCCTGGAAATTCACAGGGTATCAAGCTGATGAGACATCCAAGCTTCACTGAGTTGAGGGCATCTGGGCAGTGGGGGTGGGGAGGTATTTTGCATAAGTGCATCAAGTTCCAGGTATAATCGCATACATGTTCTCTGCTCCTACTTAAGCCAAATACTTCCTTGCTGCAACTGGTCCCTGGTTGTCTAGTGGGAGTGAAGTGGCAGAACAGCAGAGTTAAGAAAATACCATACTTTGGATGAGAAAGCCAGTGAGGACGACATTCCTTCTGGGACTGCAGGATTAGGTCTCCAATGGGAGACCCCACAAATAGAAAACAGCACTTCGCCCCACCTCCCCCAAGGCCCAGGAAAAGCAAATAAGGTGTCTATAATGAAAACATCTATACATATACCTAGAGTTTTTCCGTTTATTTACAAAGCAGTAAGCCAAATTCCTGTGTGAACATATATATCCAATAGGCTATAATATTGCATATGCCATTTCCACCCTCAGATATGACTTCAGGTTTGGGCAGTTTTTCTGAATTAAGCCAAAAATTAGTTTCCTCTATATGATCATATGATGGTAAGAAACCTCCTTATTACATTAAAGTATTTTCTCCACCTAAAGGAAATGGTAGAGTAAGGGGGGGGGTGGGTGGAGAAAGAAGAGATGCAATAAAACCTATTCCATCATCCTTATCCTCATCCACAGCATGTCTCAGAGGTTCAGTGCCTGGGCCAGTCTCTATAGTAAACTTGGGCTGTTCTGGAAACGTCTCCACTTAGCTCTGTAAGTAAGGATGGCACCTTTCAGGGTGCTTCAGAGGAAACTTACTGAATTCAACCCAAGTGTCCTGAAAGAAATTGAAGAAGTTACTCAAAGAGCTGAACTTTAAAAAAAGGAGTCGCTGAGGTGTAGGCATGTTCTGTCTTGAGCTCATGAGAACTCTGGCACTGTGCAGTGTCTGTACTCTGACCTTAGCTACAGACAAGAAAGCCCAGGTGGGAGTCACAGCAGCCATGGGTGAACTGAAAGACTTTTCTTGACTTACTGGGGTCTCAGGAATAGTCAGAGGTGAAAAGATCTGCCTCTTCCACTATGTGTTTGCATAAACCATGTTTTCTGTTTTCTGAGTCACATTGCAGAGGCTTTTCTGAAAACTGTGGAGATCCTTCTTGTGGAGTGCTTTAAAATAAATGTATCTTTATGTATCTGAACAATAGCCATAGGTGTGCCTCTTTTCTACAGATTTCTCTCTCTCACACACATACATGTATAAACACACACATATACACACACAGCATCCGTGTGGTAGGCCAATCAGACCAAAAATAAATACTCTCACTTCTCTAAATTATTTATAGAACTAATCTTATTTTTGAAATATGTTAATAAATAATCTAAATGGGGAGGAAGTTGAAATGTTTTTCTTTTTTTACTTATGTTGATGGATAGCCACAAAGCATAATCATCTTATTTACAAAAAAAAAATCCTCCAAACCTAAAAAAGCCCCCCAAAACCAAACATCCTCTGTAAATATAGTTTTAAAATGATGAGTAGGGTACTGTACCATCGGCCCCCATTTGGTTATGTACATCATGTTAGTCACTCAGCAGTAGCCATTCCATGAAATCCTCATGGGTAGTGCAACCAGTTAAAAAGTGTATAAAACATTATACATATAAAAACTCCCACATCCTTTGGATGTTTGCAGTTCATCATAACTTTGTGGTTACCTTTCCGCAACATAAATTAAAAAAAATTACACACACACACACACTCTCACACAGACCTATATAGAAACCCATTCATCCAGTCATACACTATCCAGAGTGTAGTGCGTGGGACTGTATTCCATGAGGCACGAAAGGGGTGGTTTCATCCTCAGGGTAGTCCATCATCTTCAAGGCTTAATGCCACTCGCTGGGGAAACAGACCAAAGAAATCATCATTAGATCCATAAGAGCTACTATTTATTGAATATCGACAAAGTATCAGACATACTATTACTTCACACGTATTAGCTCACATAATCTTCAAACTATCCTGAGAGAATAGATTTATTTATTTTACAGATGAGAAAACAGACTCAATGAACTTAGGTAATATTTGCTCTGGTCATAATGTTTGTTCAGATAAGTGGCTGAAGTAAAATTTGATCCCAGATCTGTATGAATCCAAAGGTATAGCTTTTTTCATCATTCTGTTCTGCCTCTTTGTAAAGAAGAGCTGCAGAGATCTAAACTTTCTCAATTCTCCCTTACAGGATTTTAGATTTGGTCAACTTCAGTGGGTTAGCTTTGGCAAATCCTAGCCTATTAGCTATCTGTCTCTAGCACGCTAGCCACAATTAGGAAGGTAATATACTGTATCCTTCCCAACTGATTAAACAGAATTGGAAGGCAATGCAGGTCAGTTAGATCCAATCCCTCTCTCCCTCACCCCTACTTTCCAGTCATTAGATGCTAGGCTCCCCTCTGCCACACGTAGCTGACCATTAGATGGTGAGCCCACTAACCACTGAGCCAGTCTATTTCATTGTGGACAGTGGATTTTTTTTTTTTTTTTGAGTTGGGGTCTTACTCTGTTGCCCAGGCTGGAGTGCAATGGCACGATCATGGCTCACCTAAGCCTCAAACTCCTGGGCTGAAGGGATCCACCCTCTGCAGCCTCCCAAGTAGCTGGGAATACAGGTATGCACCACATCCAGCTGGACAATGGATTTAAATTATTTTCTATATTAATGTGAAGTCTATTTCTTTATGTCTTCCGATATTCCTTGATTCTATCTCTCAGACTCAAAGAGAGTTCTGCATTGGACAGCCCTTGAAATTTACAGATGGTGTTTGAATTCCCTTCCCATCATTCTGAGTCTTTTCTTCTCCAGGATACACATCTAACTTTCCCCAGCTGGTCCTGATGAAATCTTGTTTGCCACTCTTCCATTCCCTGGATACTCTCCTTTGAATAGACCTTAGTTTTAGTATCTTTCTCATAGTTATGTGAATTTGCCAGCCACTTCACTTCTCTGAGCCTTAGTTTTATCATCTGTTAAATGGGAATAATAATAGGACCTACCTCATAGGACTGTTGAGGAATTAAGAGAGATAATGTATGTAGAGTGTTTAATAGTACCTAACACCATTTAGAGTCCAGAGTACTCTAGATCAACCTAGCTGGCATAAAATAGAACCAGCATCTTCCATCTCTGGAGATTCTACATATGATAAAAAATATTTCCACTGCCTTTCAAGCCATCTTTGGGTGATTTGTGTTTTTTTTTTTTTTTTATGAATGCCATGGCCATGCTCCACTAACAGAGATATTTGAGACTATCTTATCTAGTCTACCCTCTCACTCTAAGACAGATCTCTGGTCCAAGAAGATAGGCAGGCCCCAGTAGTGATGGTAGAACTGAGAAATGAACAGAGAGAATAGGCTGTTGAGAATATCAGTTTCAGAGCTTCAGGGCTATTGACTTCAAGATGTAAAGAGCATGGGCTTTTGTGTACATACAGACTGGAGTTTGAATTCTGATTCTGCCACTTCCTGGCTATGACCTTTGGCAAGTTATTCAATTTCTATGAGCTTCGGTTTCCTCATCTGCAAAATGGGGCTAATAATGTCACCCTGGTAAGGTTATTATGAAGAGTAAGCAAGAAAATGTTTACAACACTGAGAACAGTGTCTAACACAGTAGGTGCTTACTAAATATTGGTTCCTCATTCTACTGCTCTCTTTCTCTACAACTGGCTGGAGCTTATCACTCAGTCCTTAGACTCATCAGGAGTGACTCCTCCTGAGTCATTGCCTTCTCTGAAAAGAATGCCACTTTAAACATGCAGAGTGCTCTAACTCACAAAGTGCTCTCACATGCACTTTCTCACTCGAACTTTATAAATTCCAGAGGCAGACAGAATGGGGGTTGTTATCCTCACTTTGCAAATAAAAGTGAGCAGAGAGAAGTGACAAAGATCACAGGGTTGTGGAATGGTGGAACTGGGAGTTATCTTTGTACTCCAAGTTAAATGCTTCTTCCACTTTGCACCTGCTGATCATTAAAAATTGAGTAAGCACATCATAATAAAAATACTGATTATATATACAAAAAAATTGAGTAAGCAACTATTTGCTTGGACTGGCCGAGGTTAAGGATTCTCAAGACCATTTGCTAACTCTCCTCACTTGCTCAATTTCATTTCTCATATGTCCGCTTCATGAGCAATCTGCTTCAGCAGGAATTGTGGCTGCCCTGTCCCATACGTGATCAGTCTAGGACTAACCACTTTTCCTCTTTCTCCCAACACCCAGCTTACAGTTTGCAGCCTTCCAAAAGCAGAAAGCCTTCTACTATTGGCTGCACCTGCCTTGGTTCATGCCCTCACGCACCAGCCCCTCAGACTTAGAGTGGCACTGCCCTACCTTGCACTTGACGACAGGCAGCTCGGAAAGAGGGTTCTTCGGGAGTTGGTGCAGCTGTGACCTTGGTTCCCCCGGCAAGACAAAAAGCTCCTTGAGGGCCGGGGCTGGGTCTTCCAGTTCTCTGGTCTCCCCAAGACAGCGCTCTGCCCACAGTGGGCGATCAAAGCTGCTGATTGCCTGACAGGGGGATGGACTGGATGACCTCTGAGGTCACACTCAGCCCCCTGACTCTGCTATACAACAGTGAGCCCTGCTCTAGCACTTCGTGGTCCTTGTTCCCACAACGAGCCATGCTCTGCTGTACCTCTAAGCCTCTGCACATGCTTCTGTCTGGAGTGCCATTTCCCTCCTTTTCTACCTAGACAACTGCTATTAATCTTTCAAGGACACAGATCGTCGGTCACCTTCTCTGTGAAACATTCCTTGTCTGATTCCCCAGACAGAATTAATAGCTCCCTTGTTGATGTTTCCGTTGCACTTGTTCAACAAATATTTGTTGGGAGCCAACTATATTGTGCTAGCAGGAAAATAGATGAATCAGACAATTCTGCCCTCAAGAATTTCACGGTCTAGTGGGTAGACTACTAAATAAAAGACAAGTGGACTCTAGTGTGACAAATGCTGTGATGGAGAGAGACCCAGAGGACTGTGTAAAGTAAGCCAGGGAAAACTTCCTAGAAGAGAGGACTCCTGAGCTCCTGAGCGTCCACCATGGCACTCAGCACATAGCATATCAGTATCAACTGTATGTTAGTATCTCGAACTCCCCACCAGCTCTTTGGGAGCAAGCACCTTCCTTCCTTACTTTTGAACACTTGATATCTAATGTGGTGCTTGGCACATAACTGGTATATAGCGTTGAAATAAATATATGTGAATTAAATGGCCACAGTTATCCTTCCAGGCCAAAGGTTTTGAAAATGTACTCAACAGAAAGAAAGACATTTGACTGCAGGAGCCAGGAAGAGCCTCTAGGTACAAGGTAGTCCTGATACCCCTTTATCCCAACCACCTGCCCCTGCATTTGTGTTCCCCAGGGCCTAGGGCAGTGCCTGGTACATGGTAGGTTCTGGAAAGAAGGAAGGAAGGAAGGAAGGAAGGAAAGGAAGGAAGGAAGGAAGGAAGGAAGGAAGGAAGGAAGGAAGGAAGGGTCAGACATGAGGGAAGAAGGATGAGAAGCAAGAAATACTTACTGCAGGGTAGACATGGCCAATCTGGGCAGTCCTCCCTATATGGAGCTCATCTTCATCTTCTTCTTCTGTTGTTTTCCTGTATACCGGGTTGTCAAAATTCATGCTTTTCGTGTTCTTCCGCTTCCAGTTTCTCCAGATCAGGTAGCCACTCATGCAGAGCAGGGCTATTACCGCTGGAGGAAGGGACACGTTATACTGGACCTCCAGCAGGCTCCAGCCCATTCCTAGACATCCACTGCATATCTTGCCACCGGTCCAACTTTACTGCCCCTTGCTGCTTGGGCTCTGTTTCTGTGTGTTTTTTTCTGTTGCTTGAAAGCCTTTCTTCCATCCCTTCTTTCTTTCATAACTAATCATCTTTTAAGACCCAGTTCAAAAGTGAAGTCTTCCCCAACTGCTCTAGGCAGAATAAGCTGCTCTCTCATGTATGCTCCCAGACCACAGTCTCTTACTTGATCCCTGTCCCAACTAGACTGACCCTTTCAGGGCAGGGACTGTGTGTATTTTATCTCTCTATGCCCAGTGCCTAGGTAGCATATGCTGAATGAATGAGTGAATTTCTTTACACTTTTACCCTAATGCTGCTGCTTCCCTGGATTTCTCTAAAAAAATCATTCTCTCCCAAAATTGGAAGGTGAAACATGGGAAAGGAAAGAGTAGGATGTTTCTTCCAAAACTGGGACTCCATCCAAAGAAGAGCATCTCAAGAAGGGGACACAGAAAGGCAACATAGGCTCTGATTTAGAATAAATTACTATATTACTGAATAAAGAAAGAAGGAAGCTCTTCAACGCAGCTGGGCAAAAATGGGGCAAGCAGCCATGAAAGGTAGTAAGCAGTCACCCTGAACATTCAGGTGGTGCCTGGGAGCACCTCTCAATGATGCTATGGGGCGGGGGGGTGTTCTATTTTAGTAAGATTACAATAGTTGATATACATTAAAGACAGGAACAAAGCAAAGATGCCTGTTATCACTGCTACTATTTATTGTCCTGGAGATCTAGCTAGGCAGTAAGACCAGAAGAAAATTTGAGTATAAATATGAGAAGGAAGGCACCAAACTGTTAACTATTAACAACTATTTGGTCTGGGCATGGTATCTCACACCTGTAATCCTAGCATTTTGGGAGGCGGAGGCGAGAGGATTGCCTGAGCTTAGGGGTTTGAGACCAGCCTGAGCAACATGGCGAGACTTTGCCTCTATACTAAGTCAAGAAAAATAGCCGAGCGTGGTGGCACATGTCTGTAGTTCCAGCTACTTAGAAGGCTGAGACAGAAGGATCACCTGAGCCCAGCCTTCGTCTCTGCAATAAGTCAAGAAAAATTAGCTGGGCATGGTGGCACATGCCTGTAGTTTCAGCTACTTAGAAGGCTGAGACAGAAGGATCACTTGAGCCCAGCAGGTTGAGGCTGCGGTTGTTGTGAGCATTCCACTGCACTCTACCAGCATGGGTGACAGAGTGAGACTCCGACTCAAAAAAAAAAAGACAACTATTTGTATGTTTAGAAAATCTTAGAGGCACTGATGAAAAACCGTTGGAAATAATTTTAGTCAAGAAACGAAAGATCAATAGCTTTCTTTTTAATCAACAAGAATCAGTTAGAAAATGTAGTGGAATAAGAGCACATTCATCATAGCCTAGCAAAGAACTATAAAACACCTGGAATAACCTAACAAGAAAGATGCAAGTCCTGTGTGATCTATACAATTCTACCGAAGAATGTAAAAGAAGACCGAAATAAAGAGATATGTCATGTTCCTGGATGGGAAGGTTTAATATTATAAAAATGTAAATCTCCCCACATAAATGTGTACATTTAAAGCAATTGCAATACAAATTTCACCAACATTTTAATAAAATTGACAAGATTATTCTAAAGTTCATCTAGAAGAGAAACTGAATAAGAATAGCTGAGAAAATGTCGTGAGCAAAACACATCACAAAGTTGTGCTAAGAGTATATAGGAATATATAAATAACTGGTGAAGGAAACTAAACAGCCTAAAAGCAGATCAAAGTATGTATGGGCATGTAGATGACAATTCAAGTCAGAAGGAAAAGAATGGGTCATTCAATAATGGTTTTGGGGAAACTAGACAGGTATGTGTAAAAAAAAAAAGTGGCTGGGTATGGTGGCTCATGCCTATAATCTCAGCACTTTGGGAGGTGAAGGTGAGAGGATTGCCTGAGCCCACGGGTTCGAGACCAGCCTGGGCAACTTGGTGAGACCGCATCTCTACAATCAATAAAAAAAATTAGCTGGACTTGATGGCACATGCCTGTAGTTCCAGCTACTTGGAAGGCTGATGTGGAAGGATCATCTGAGCCTAGCCGGACAAGGCTGCGGTGGCTGTGAGCATGCCACTGCACTCCAGCCTGGGTGACAGAGTGAAACTCCAACTCAAAAAAAAATTTTTTTTAAATTAAATTTTAAAAAAAGTTAAGTCTCTACCTCATACCATACTCTAAAATAAAATTCCAAATGGATTAATATCAAAATATTTTAAAAAGTTTAAAACAGAAGAAGAAAATACTGAGAGATATTTTAATAATTTAGAGTAAGGCAGGCCTTCCCAAGTAAGACATAAAACCTAGAAATCATAGAACAAAAAACTGACAGATCTGTTACTTAGAAATGTTTAATTTATGCATGGCAAAAATACCATAATCAAATTTTAAAATAAAATGCAGGACTGGGAGAAAATATTTGTAACATATATTTTAAAAGTCTAATATTCACTATGTACAAATATTTCTATAAATAAGAATAATGATGCAGTTTAGGCTATAGATAATGTTTTTCATCATGGCTCCTGGCTCATAACTTGCATACCCCTGTTACCGTCCCCTGCCCTCCTTTCACCTGCCTCTCATCCCCCTGCCTTTCGGACTGTGGGTCTTAAGACCTTCCACAGACAGGGTTCCGCCCTATACCCTGGGAGATGGAATACTAACATTATGACGCTTCCATAAAAACCCAAGAGAACTGAGTTCAGAGAGCTTCTGATGCTATCTCCAGATAATGTCAGAATTGAATTAGAGGATACCCAGTAGTAGCCGCTGCTTGATGTGGGAAAAACTCCCACATTTGGTCACAGAAGTCTTATTCTGTGTTGATAATTGTTGTGATGGTGTGAGAGCAGAGGGGAAAGCACAGCTGGAGAGTTTTTTCTGAAAGCATACAGCCAATAGAAAAATAAGACTATGAAGAGGCAATCATCAAGAATAAGTGTAAAAAAATGGCCAATAAGCTTATGAAAAGACACTCTACCTCACAGGGAAGCACCAGGGAAATAATACGCATCTTTCATTCTTCAGATTAGCAGAAATTTAAAATAATGATTCTATCAGAGTGGGTTATGTTAGTGAAACAGCACATATATACTTCTTCTTTCCATAGGGCATAGGATGGCAGAAAAGGGGTAGCTTTGTCTTTCTCCCACTCCACTCAAGCCCAGAATAATCATCTCACCATCATCTTTTCTGGTGAAGCCTTTCAAGGACAATTCAAATGCCATCTTCTACAGAAGCACCACTTTTCCTCTGGAATGACATTTCCTTCCACTCTTCCTCCACAGGAATATCATGCCACTATTAGATTGTGCTTCTGTATCTAGCTGTATCTGACATGCCTCTATTATATGCACATTATAATATACATTAACATCTACCTTGTATGGCCTTATTTATGCTTAGTCTGATTAAAGACAAAGCTTTTGAAGTCTCTCTCTTTTCTTCCGTGGATCCTTGACACAGCGTCTCGCACAGGGAGGAGTTTTAAAACACTCACTCACTAGCCACCATACAGAAGATTCCCAGGATAAAAGGACATAATTCCTGTCTTCGAGGTACTCATGAGCAAGTAAGGGAGATAAACCCCTGAGTGGACAATCGCAATTCAAAGATACTTCCTAGAGATGAGACGTGTGAGAGGGTGTACAGGATACTATGTGGGCACTGGGGTAGAAGAGAATGAATCGGCCCCCGTGATTTGTAAGATCTTAACCAAATGCTGTCCTCTGGTTGTCCTGAACTCCTTCTAGTTCTAAGCCCCCCCACCCCAACCCCCATCTTTCCACACCATCTTCCACTCCTGGCTTTGCTCATGCTGTCTATACCGCTTGGAAAGCTCTTGATCCCTTTCACCTGGCTGGCTCAGCTCCAATATCATTTCTACTAGAAAACTTCCCTGCCCTCTTCCCCTCTCCTCTAGCCTAAGTTAAGTGTATCCTCAGCACTTTCCCTGAATTCAGTGTGTACATCTTAATCTTAGGGTTTACTGTGCCATGACGGTGTTGTGTGTCTCCAGCGAGACTATAAACTTTTGTTGGACAGGATTATGTCTTATTCATCTGTAACTGCCTCTCCTCCCCTTTTCGCAGAGTTTGGCACATAGTAAGCTGCTTGATAAATATTGATAAAACCAAAGGGAAAAAAGGCAAGACGGCATGACCAGTAGGAATGGCAAGCAGCTCTACTCATTAATTCAACGAATATTTATTTGTACCATGTGCCAGACATTGCTAGGAGCTGGAGAGAGTAGTGAGCAAGAGAGATACCAGCCCTGTCCCCATGGACATTCAGCTGCACTTCACATGGCTAGAGTGTAGAGCGTGATTGAGGGGGCATGGGGAGGACACCTGGACTGTTGACTAGGCCCGGTCCTGGTCCTGAAGAGCCTAATGTGCCCAACTACGAAACCAAATTAAATCAGGACTGGGAGGTGGGTACAAAGGCTGTTAGGGCAGAACAAGTCAGTGGGGCAGCTCGGTGTGCCAAGTCCTCTATCCTTCTAGTGCTTTTCCCTAGGCCTGGATGGGGTCTCTCTCTTCTCTCCCCAGCAACTGAGGGCCACACTCACCTATGGGCACAACGATCCCAATGACAGCAGCAGTGACTGTTGAGCCCATCTTACTGCCTTCGTTCCCATCTGCAAAACACAACATTCACAGAATGATGCTCTATCACTGTGAGTCCAAGCCCTCACCAGCCTCAAGCAGTAAGAACTACCCAACGGTTTGTCATCCTCATTCTAGAATGATGGTCCTGGCTAAGGCTAAGTCTGTATAGATCCTACCAAAACTCCTGTGAGGCAAGCAGGACGGAGGTTATCTCCATTTCAGATGGGGAAACTGAGTCTTACTGAGGCGTCTGGGGACTCACAGATAAGTGGCAGAGCTGGGGTTCGCCTCCACCCTTTCCACAGCATCATGGAAGAAGGAAGCTGGGGGCTGCATGTGGCAAACAGCACTTGGGTCTTCATGCTGCTGACTGACTGGGTCACTTGCCTTCTCAGCCAGTACCTGCTGCTATGTCAGTGTTGCTTTTGGTGATCTGTCTGTCCATCTGCATTATGATATTTCTTTTGTAAGTAATTAAAATGGGACATAGTATAGTGTGGTGGAATCAAGAGCACAGGCTTTTGGGTCAGACTGCTTGGTTTCATATCCTGGATCTACTTAGTTCAAAGAGGAGTGGGGGAGGGATTGTTATGAGGCCTATAGAAGAAAAAGATGTGTAAAAGCACAGTCTAAACTGAAAAGTGCTTGGAAAATGTGCTACATTTTTAAAGAGTATGCTGTGCCCCCACTTCCACTCTCATAGCCATCTTCATTGTAACATGTGAACAGCACTTTATAGTTTAGAAAGTGGTTTTCCTTGGCACCCTCCTGGCATCCTCTGAGGTGTGAAGAGAAGCCACCATGGGCATTTGCTCCCAGTGAGGAGATGACGACCCCTGGCGATAGCCCAGATCCCACCCTTTCGGCGTATCTCTCTCAATGCGGCTCCAAGGGAATCTAACCATGAAGGGGAGAAAACGACTGCACTGCCAACAGGCTGGTGTGGAAATGCTACTGCCCGCTTGCTCTGGGCAAGAGTACACACTGGCCAGCAATATTAAACCCTAGAGCATGATGGAGCCAGTGGGAAGAGACTGGTCAGAGGCTGTGCCCCCAGGTGAAGGGAACCAGAATTCACTCTGTCCCACCTGCCTCACAAACTTCAGAAGAAGTGCTCCACGCTGGAAATTCAGCTTCTGCTGGCAAAACAGGTGCAATCAGAAAGATGCTGTGGGCTGGGCCCGGTGGATCTGCCTGTCATCCCAGCACTTGGGGAGGCCGAGGCAAGTAGACTGCCTGAGCCTGTGAGTTTGAGACCGGACTGGGCAACATGGTGAAACCTTGTCTCTATAATAAATAAATAAAAAATTAGCCAGGCATGGCAGCACATGCCTGTAGTTCTGGCTACTTGGAAGGCTGAGGCGGAAGGATCGCCGGAGTCCAGCAGGTCGAGGCTGCGGTGGCCGGGAGTGTGCCACTGCACTCCAGTCTGGGCAACAGAGTGAGACTCCAACTCAAAAAAAAAAAAAAAAAGAAAGGTGCTGCCAAGCTGCTTGGTTTCTGGACCATCCATGTATGGAGAAAAAAAAATTAAAAGATAGTTTATTCTTTTAAATGAACTCCCCCTGGCAGGTAACTCAATTAAAAAGGTATTTGCTGGTTAATGAGATAGAACATTTCTAGCAGTGACAATTATTGCTCCCAGTGATTTAATAAGTGGTGAACTTAATTATTTTCATTGTAGAGTTTGGAAAGAGGCATGAGCAGACCATAGTTGTAGATATTATTGTTTGTGGTACTAACTGAGGCTGCTGGGAACTGAGATCAGAGCTTTCCAAACCTGAAGGGCACCTCCTCATACCTACATAGGTAACTCAAGAAATAGACCTGCACACACCCCAGAATTAGCAGAGGCTGTGTGCGTGGGTGCTTCTGGTCACACTGCCTCCTGTGCTTTTCTTGGTAGTCTTGTGTAGCAGGCTGGGGAAAGGTTATTATTGCTTCCACTTTGTAGGGGAGGAAACTGAGGCTCAAAGACAGGAAGTAGCTTCCTTGCAGACTCCCTCTAAGGCAGGAGCACCCAGTCCTAAGTGTAGGCTGATACTCTTCTCCCTCTGCTGCCTCCTCAGAGATACACAGTATTCAGCTCTGGCATGTTCTTCTAGTCCCACATATGCCCCCATCCTGGCTTCCCTAGGACCCCTCCCATGTCACGAAAGAATGCAGAACTCATTTCCTTACAGTGCTGGGAGTGGTTGCTGGTTGCAGGGCCTGGGGTAGACGGGCTGATGCTGGAAGCCCTGGGGACACTAACTGAGCTTGGAACTGCAGCTGCCAGGCTTGGTGTCTCTGTGCTGTGGTTCTGGTAGGTGGGGTTGTGGACGGTGGTCCCAGGGGCTCTTGTGGTGGCAGGTAGTGTCCTCGTCGTGGTAGAGGCTAACGTCGTAGTTGAGGTAGATTGAGGTGCTGGAGGGGAAATACCACAGAGGTCACTTGGACAGAGAATTTTGTTGCTTTAGTGCCTAAGTTATTGCCTCTGAGTTATACTTAGGAACTCAGCCTCATGGCATAGCTTGAATGCCACTTCTGTGAAGCCTGTCCTAATCTCCCTGAATGGGCTGTGACCTTTTCTTGAGCTGAATCCTAAGTCTTTCACTTTGATTCAATAAAGATGAATCATTCAAACAATGGTGTAGAATTAGGTATGTGAAAAAGACTGGGGGAAGGGGAAATATATAAATCTAAAAGGATTTTACATTCATATTATACCATTAGGTTTAAATTCTTAACTCCACTTTAATCAGTTGAACCTGGAAATTTAAAATGATACAGCAGTCTTATGCTTAAATCAGAGGACTTGGCTACACAACAGGATTGGGAGAGGAATATAATTTATGTGGCTGAAGTATTAACTGACTATTAGTTCCAGTCATATTGCAAAGGGGCTTCGAGGAGGGTGTTAAGTTCTAGGTGGGAAGTAGGTAAGCACATAGTTATCTGCATATAAACAATAACTGAAGCCTTGGAGATTAAGTATTCTTAATGTGAGGCTTTCAAGGGGTTCCAGAAACCTCCTGAAACTGAATTTAAAATGTTTTGTTGTATACGTGCATTTTTTTGGTTGGGAATGAGAAGAGGAAGCCTGGGAAGGACCCTGTAGGCATGAACATTCAGGGAAGGTGAGAAAAAGAAGCCTGCACAGCCAGCAGGTAGCCAGAGAAGATGGAAGAAAACCAGGAGCATATTGTGTGCCAGAAGTCTGGGAAGATTTCAGCAGGGTCGGGTCTGGCGCTAGCAGGAGCCATCCCTCCTGGAAGCTCTGCTTACCTCGATAGCACCTCTTCATGTCTGGGCCCAGCCACATTGTGTCAGGACAGGCACATGTGTACTGGGGAGAGTGGCTGGAGATCTGAGGAGCAGGAAGGCACAGGTACTCACAGCCCCCGTTAGGCTGGGCACTCAGCTCGCAGGCATCTGCAGCTGGTGGCAGAGAGAGAGAGACAGCTGGGGCAGACAGGACATGCCAGGTCTTCCCATCTCCCGCGGATGAGGCCTCTCCCGTGTGGCTTGTTCAAAAAACTTTCCCTACTTCTTTTGTTGGGTACCTTCTAGCCCTGCATGTGATGTTGTATCCCCACACTCTCATTTACTCCTGGCAACAGTTCTGAGAGGTGGGTGTTATGTCCCAGATTGACTGATAAAGATATCTAGGCTCAAAGAGAACAAACTTGTCAAAGCTATACTCTAGGCATCTTGGACACAATTTAAATTAAGTTCTGTTGGACCCCAAAGCCCATAAGCCCATGGTTTTTGTTTTTTGTTTTTTCCTTTGCTACATGCTAAGTTTCTCATTTATATTTCTAGATCTAGACTCGGGCACCGATCTTATCTCCTTACCCTCCCTTGCTCTCCCACCTCCACCCTGGCAGCCAACTCCTTGGTTAGAATTAGAGTTAGCATGTCGAATGATAGAGGAGGGGGTAGCCTAGTAGTAGGATTCCTGGAGTCTACTCCCAACCAACAAGCTGACTTATTATATGGTCCTAGGGTACATTAGCTTACACTACTGCAAAATGGGTACAAATAGAAATTGAGATGCAATGTTTCATGGTGGAAGGAAAACCCAGATAGAGCTGAATTTAGGTTTCAGTTCTGCCACCTGCTAACATTATTTTACCTCTCTGAGCTTCAGTTTCCTCAACTGTTAAAAGAGAGAAATAATACTCACATTTTGCAGGACTGGTAGAAACAGGATATTTATATATTCATTTATACCCAGCCTTATTTCACAAAGAACTTGAGGTAAAAATGACACAAAATATACAATGACAAAGCACTTTACCAACAAGAGGAACTGTTGTTATTTTTTCTGAGGTGTTAAATTGAACATGAACACAGCCTGCCTAGTGGAGGGAGAGGACACAGGCAGGGGACCTGGGACCTAGGACCAGAGATGGCTCACCTCTTGGCTGTTTGAGCTCATGGAAGATGACAATGTCATGTGGGTTATTGAGGTTCTCAGCCAGGATGGAGATTTCCAGGCCGTTGAGCCGATTTGCACTGAAAATGGCCTCATTCTCCAGGTCTGTCCAGAACACCTTGTCCTGTGGGGTACAGATGCAGAGGATGGGAGGCCTAAAGTCTAAACCCATGATCTCAAGCTGAGGTCTCAGCCCTAAACCACAGTCACAAGAATGCCACTGAGCTGTCCTGCCCATGGATACACAGTGGGACTCTCAGCCTCTGATCTGTGATGTCCACTCTCCTGGTTCCCTTCTATCTTAGAGGATTATTCGGTTACTCTGTGCTTTGGCTTGAGGTTCACAAAGCTGCTTGTTAATGCTGAGTTAGGCCTGCTTCCTGGAGCCCAGCAGAAAGCCAAGGTTGGATCTCTATAGCTATTATCATTACTGAGGCCTGGGACCAAGATGGAGGGATGTGTGAGCTACTGAGGGCTGTCCCCTGCTGGGGCTCCTACAGCTGCTGGGTATGTACATACGAGTCCACACAGTTAGTCCAAACAAGCCTAGAAGTGCAACTCGGCAAATCCATTTACAAGTACAATTGTGCATCCTCACACAGATCTGGAAACATACCCAAATGTTCATCTACACACATAAAGGCACACTCATACCTTCATGAGCAGCCTAAATACGTCTTGGTGTCCATACTCACACTCATAAGCAACAGCACATGTAGGAATGAACACTTTTACCCTGATGCATGTATGCATCACATACTTTACATGCCACATATACACACAAGCGCATACACATGTCACATACACATGAAAGTAGGGGCTGAACTTAGAGGTGGAGCTTTGCCCGTAATTTCAGAGCCGTGCTGAGTTATGTTGTTGCAAGCAGATACTGCCAAGGCTCACCATAGACCATTGTCCCCTTGCTTTCCCTCCCCTTGGTGGCAGAGTTAGTTTCAGGGAAGAGAAGGGTGTGTGAGACCTTGGTTGGTTCTGACTTCCTCATTCCCGGAGGAGAAAGGTTGTTAGGGTCAGGGCACAGGAGGGTTTTGGCGCCTCACCTTCCTGGGAGCTTCCTGAGGACTAGGAAAGTATCTGAATCACTTCTGCGACTCCAGAGTCAGACAAAAGTGTGCTCAGCTGAACAGCATCTCTCAGCCATTTCCTACAGTCGATGTATAACCCTCTTCCCTTCCTCCATTTGTTGGGCACTTTCTGTATATGTGGTACAGTGCTGTGTGCTGAGGGCACAAAGGGGAAACATACATGCATCGCAGCTCACATGAGAGGGGTCTTGGGAAGAGAGCACAGAAAAGACCATCCAGCAGACAGCAGGCTGCAAAGCCTTCGTAAGCAGGCAGCTCACAAATTGTGTACAATCAAGTCAGTTGGCTTCCTAGTTCCTTTGCTTCCACTTGGGCAGGCCTCAGGGTGTTGTCCTATTTGAACAAAACTTTTCTAGGCCCCAGCTTCCTCATGGGGCCATGCCTCCACTCACGGACTCACCTCAAATACAGCTATGCCAAAAGGGTGGCTCAGGAAGTCGGTGGAGGAAATCAGGATCTTTCTGTTGCCTCCACTGAAGTCAATGCTGGACAGCTGGTGCAGCTTGGAGTCTACCCAGTACAAGCGCTGGTTCAGCAAATCTTGGGAAGGGAGACGGGAGGAGGGATAAGGCCATGGCCTGGGACCCTGCGTGGAGCTCCACTCCTCTGGACCCCCTCCCTGCCCACATCTCCAGGCCTCAGACTGAGGCCAGCCTGGGGCAGCTGTCGGGGAACAGAGGCACTGGCTCTAGGAGGAGGCCCAGACGCAAGACCTGTGGAGTTCCAGGCAGTGGTCAGGACCTGGGGCTAGGACAGGCTCCCAACCCAGGAAAGGCCAGGCTCACCTAGGGTGATTCCGTTGGGCCATTCAATATTGTCTGACACCAGTGTTCGCCGCGCCACACCGTTGAGCCCAGACTTCTCAATCTTGGCCTGGTACCCCCAGTCAGACCAATACATGAACCTAAAAGAAAAAAGAACCCAAGATGGCTTCTTGTTGGGGACATGATTGGGTGGGCTGAGTCACCAGGGCTTAGTGACCCACTGAACAGTTGAAGATGATGCTTAGGGAGGACTGGGAAGACCTCAAATCTTTTGGAGCCATCAAATATTAGAATGAACAGGCATTTGGCCTTCATCTCATTTGAGACCTCGGGGAAGCCTGTATTCTCTGAGACTGCACCCAGCCCCAGCGGTGCAGCCTGTGAACCCACCTCTCCCATGCTGCAGCTCTAACAACAGCCTTAGAGTGTCAGTGTGGGAACAGCCCCCCCGTAAGCCTTCTCTTCCCAGTTTACAGAGGAGAAGGTGGGTGGCCTTCCTAACTTGGGTAGCCCTTCCTGCTCCTGTCTCTTCAGGTCTACTAGGGCAGGTAGCAGCCCAGTGTTACTCATCCAAGACGGTACATTAGGCCTTACCCACTCCTCTGTCAACAGTCCCTTTATGAAACACTCCATCACCAAGGCTGGCTTGCTCACGGCCACTCCAGCGCTGACCTGCTGGGCTCCGGCAATCCTTCCACCTCAGCCTTCTAAGTAGCTGGAACTACAGGCACATGGTACCATGCCTGGCTAATTTTTTGATGTATTGTAGAGATAAAGTCTCACCAAGTTGCCCAGGCTGTTCTCAAACCCATGGGCTCAGGCAATCCTCTCACCTTGGCTTTCCAAAGTGCTGGGATTACAGGCTTGAGCCACTGCACCCAGCCTCCAGTTATCTTAAGCTGAGTATTCGGTGGGTTTCCTGCTGGGACCCTGACAGATCCACAATGGGCTGGTGTAACTGTATGGTTTGGGGGCGGGGCATAGCAGTTGCAGCACCAGGTCTGCATGGGAGCAGACAGGAAACAGGGTGAAGTGAGGGTTAAGTGAGATGGCTCAGAATCTGTCAAAATGCTGCACCTGAAAACGGCCAGTAAATGGCAGCTATCAGTCACTTCCCAAAGCCTCACATACCCTCCCGCATGGCCACTGCCCTCACCTGAAAAAGAGGGTTTTCTATTCCTGTTATACAATTAAGGGAACAGCAGTAGGAAGAAGCTAGGGATTCTGGTAAACTTAACATGACACTGACAACTGCTAAAAAGTGATGCCATCTCAGGACATCCTCACTGAGGGAGAGAGGGGTTCTGTTCCAAATCCCTCTCTCCCTCAAAACTGAGGTGTGGCCAGAGCAGGGCGGCCTAGGTGGTGAGGGCCCAGAGACTACATGCAGCAAGGGTGGGAGGAAGGTGGGTAGTCAGGGACAGAGCAGACCCTGTGATCTTGATCCTCCAAGCTCGCTGGCTGTTCTGCAGGGCAGGGGAGAGATATGTTTTATGTAACTCCAGAGGCCAGTGGAGAAAGTTACTGGGAGACAGATTTGGGACTATGAGGGAAAAAAAAAAAAAACACTTTTTTTTTTTCTTTAGAGAGAAGAAAACATGTTTTGTTACATTCTGAGTAATTTCCTTTGAAAAAGCAAAACACTTTCCAAGAGCCACTGACAATCAAACTAGATTTCTCCCACATCTTAGATGAAAATGTGTGTTATTACTCGTGCATAATCTGATCCAAACAATTCCTTGCCTTCAGTTTGTTTTTTGTATTTCCTTATGTAAGCAAAAATTAATACACTCAGACAAGAAAGAAATAAGTTAAATTATTTTTACTGCTTCTCTTTAGTATGTACAATACGTCTTCTTTACCTCTCAATGACATGTAAAACAGTTAGAGAAAAACACAAATAAATACCCATGGGAAAAAAAGACAACTATCTCAAGGAAAGGCTGTCTGCTTTGGGGGCTTGCCTTGGCCTCCTCTTTCCCTGGCACTTGCTGGGTACCAGGGGATCTGGTCTGTCCCTTCCCCATACCCACTGGATGCCAGCTTACCCTGACCAGGAGTCTCAGGAGTTTCCCAGCTGAGCTGAAAGCAAGCTTCCCAGGTGAACATTCTAGTGTGCATGCTTTCTCCACATCTTGAGGAGGGTAGCTCCCGGTGGGAAAAAGCCCTGTTTTCATGTCCAGTCCAGAGAGCTTCTGGAAACCTCTAGTGTATGCAGATGATTTGAAGATTGTATTTGTGTGTTAATTTGTCAACTGGCTTATCAGAGAAGTTCAAAGCCTACTTTAAAAAGTGTTGGTTATTCCCACAACTTGGCTATTGTAAGCAGCCAAGAATGCAATGAACAATGGGGTATTCATATCTCTGCAATTCTTTTGTATAAATGCCTCGAATTGGGATTGCCGAATCATATGGTAGTTCTATTTTTAACTTGTGAGAAACCTTCTTCCTTTTCTCCCCGGTGGCCATACTATGTTGCATTCCCACCAACCGTGAACATGGATTCCAGTTTCGCCACATTCTTATCAACACTTGTTGTCATCTGTTTTTTGGATAGTAGCCATCCTAACAGGTGTGAGGTAATATCACACTGTGGTTTTGATCTGAATTTCCCTGATGATTAGAGAGATGTTGAACATCCTTTCATATACCTGTCAGCCATTTGTACATCTTCTTTGGAGAAATCTCTATTCAAGGCTTTAGTCTGTTTTAAAAAATTGGTTATTAGTTTTTGTTTTTGCTACTGAGTTATAGAAGCTCCTTACATATTTTGAAAATTAACTCCTGATCTTGCTCTTGCTGCATGCTGGTGTGGAGGATCCTCCCTGCTTCAGATTTACCAACAGCATGAATCAAGAAAAGTTAGCCAAACTTCAGGCTCAGGTCCAGATAGAGGGCGAGGGTACAGCTCGCAGAAAGAAGAAGGTGGTACACAGAACAGCTACAGCTGATGACAAAAAGCTCCAAAGTTCTCTTAAAAAGCTGGCTGTGAACAATATAGCTGGTATTGAAGAGGTGAACATGATTAAAGATGATGGGACAGTTATTCATTTCAACAATCCCAAAGTCCAGGCTTCCCTCTCTGCTAACACCTTTGCAATTACTGGTCATGCAGAAGCCAAACCAATCACAGAAATGCTTCCTGGAATATTAAGTCAGCTTGGTGCTGACAGCTTAACACGCCTTAGGAAGTTAGCTGAACAGTTCCCGCGGCAAGTCTTGGATAGCAAAGCACCAAAACCAGAAGACATTGATGAAGAGGATGATGATGTTCCAGATCTCGTAGAAAATTCTGATGAGGCCTCAAAGAATGAAGCTAACTAAAATTTTTTTCTGGTTTTTGGAAGCTGGCATGGACTAGATTTAACAAATCAGCTATGTGGTTCCAAAGTTTTACAGACACGGAGAACATCACCTGTTACTAGTTCAATAATATAAATATTTTGTATATTAATAATGCTGTTTATTCAGCATTTTTCAGTCATTTGATTGTGCTTTTTGCACTTCTTCCCAGATCTATTCTCTTGGTCAAACTATGAAGTACTGGTGCAGTTTGAGGGTGTTTTGGTTTTTGATTCTGGCTTTTTGTTTTTGTTGGGATCTTTTTGGTGTATGTATGTTTATGTATGCGTGTGGGTATGTGTGTATACAGTGGAGAGCAAATTGGAAAACAGTTCTATTTATCCTCCTCCTTCCTCCAGTAGAAAACAAATCTTTACAAAAAAAAGGAAATTAACTCCTTACTACATACATTGTTTGAAAATAGTTTCTTCCATTCTACAGGTTGCCTTTTACTCTGCTGGTTGTTTCTTTTGCACTATAGAAGCTTTTATGTTTGATGTAGTCTCACTTGTCTGTTTTTGCTTTTGTTGCCTGTGTAACCAATGTTATAAAGCTTTTCACTTAGATTTTCTTCTAAGGTTTTTATAGTTTCAGGTCTTGCATTTAAATTTCCATCAAGGGATTAATTAATAAAGAAAATGTGGTGTGTGTGTGTGTGTGTGTGTGTGTGTGTGTGTGTGTGTGTGTATGATATATAATAAAATATTATTCTGGCCAGGCACAGTGGCTCACGTCTGTAATCCCAGTACTTTGGCAACTGAGGCAAAAGGACTGCCTGAGTCCAGGAATTCAAGATTGGCCTGAAAAACCCCACTTTCTAATGGGCAAAGCTGCCACACAATGAAATGGGCTCTATAAGAAGTAATGAGCTGTCTGTCTCTGGAAGTATGTGAGCAGCTGCCAGATACCCAACCGCAGCAGCCTGAGAAAAGTCTTCCTCCCCCAGGAGCTTCTATTAGACAATTGCTAGAGCTCTGAGATACTCTGATTCTGTGATATAATGAACGAGCAGGAGAGTCCAGGGAGAACCCTGGTGACCAGTGTCCAAAGAACCCTAGGCTGGGGATGAACAGGACGAGAGACATGCCCAGACTTTCCTCCCTATGGCCTGTGTCTGAACAGCCCAGAGCCACCCAGAGCCTTCTAGAGCCTTCAAGATAGTCCTTGTGACGGAGGGCTGAGGACTGAGTACCTATGGTGGGAGAATGGGAAGTCTGGGGTAGGGACACTCACCCTCGCAGGGGGTCAACAGCGATGGCCCGGGGTTCACTGAGGTTATGGCTGAAGAGAGTACATCGGCGGCTTCCGTCCACTGTGGCCACTGAGATGGTCTTATTGCCTGAGTCGGTCCAGTAGATGTGCTTGTGCACCCAGTCGACCGCCAGGCCCTCGGGAGAGTGCAGCTGCTCATCAATGAGGACCTTCTGCTCTGCCAGCTCACTGGCCTTGTCCATGTAAGCGCTTAGGAGAAACCAGAGACGGCTATGGGGCAGATGTTCACCCATGGGCCCATCTGGAGCTGCCTGTGCTTCCTTCCCCTTGAACCATGGCAGTGGGTTTTAGAGGAGCTGGCTAATGTCCATTCAACACATTCTCTGGGCCACCGGGGCAGTAGACAGGCTTGAATCAGCCAGTCTCTAGCCTGGAAGAGCTGCTTAGTGGTGACAGAGTGAGCCAAATATAATACAACGTGATTATTAAAAGCACTAGAGGCTATGGCAGCAGAGACATGGAGACTACATCACCCTGGAGGGTGGGAAAAGGCTTTGCAGCTGAGTCCCGAAGGACTAGTTCATCAGGAGCACAAAGTACAGAAAGCCATTCAGGGAAAGGGAACAGCACATGTGAGTGATCAGAGGTGAGTATGATCTTGAATAGTTAGGTCCTCAGCGGGGGCAGAGCTGGGTATGTGGGATGTAGGACTGGAGATACTTGTAGGGAGGAACCACATTCTGACAGGCTCTGAGCGCCATGCTAAGGAATTAGGATTCTCTCTCCATGGCGTAACTGAGCAGATCAGAGGACAGAGTCAAATGGGCATGTTAGGTCACTGTGGCACGGGTGGATTGAAAGGAGCGGGAATGAAGGCAGAGAAACTGGTTAGGAGGCTGTTCCAGCATCCGGGTGAGAGGTGAACGGAGAGCAGGGCTGATCGTAGACGTGTAGGAGGCAACATTATCAGGACTGGGTTTCCCAAATGTTGTCTCCCCAAGGTTTCCTTCTCTCCTACACCCCCTCTCTGGCTGATTCGCTCTGTAGTGCTCACTGCCATCCACAACACTGACTTTCCAGCTCCAACAGCTCTCCTAAATTCCAGGCTGTAAAGCCAACCAGCTCTCCTTGAATGTCCCCTGGACACCTTGAACTCAACATGTCCACGGCTACTCATTCCCATTCCCCTCCCGTTCGCCGCCAGCCAGACTGCCCAGCCCACGACCTCTGATCCCCTCCAGTGCTTCTCATCAGAGAACAGGACCACCATCCATGAAGCCTCCGAAGCTGGAGACCTCAAATTTCCCAGATTAACCTGGGAGTGAATGCTGACTCTTCCTCCTTCAGCCCCTTATCGAGTCTGTCATCAAATCCTGCCTCTTTGACTCGACACAGCTGCTGGACAGGCACTGCTCTAGCTGTTTCTGGGTGTATAAGGGAGAACCACACGTGCCTTTGCGGGGAGGCAGGAATCTAGGTGTAGGCGAGCAGCTCTTGGCATGTCTGCTTCCATCCACTCGTCCACCCACCCAGCCCATCATTCCTTCAACAGTGACCCAGTGTCTACCTAGTGCCTGGTCACTGGCAGTCCTACCCAGTGGATCTCAGGACAAATAAAGGACGTGACCCAAAGGGGCCTGGACATGCAGGGAGATAGGCTGGTAGCATCTGAGAAAGACCTAAGGAGAAAACCTCCTCGAGGGTGGGAAGCGCTTCCCAGGTGCCAGGGTCCACCGACTGTGGGGTCACACACAGTGTGAGGCTGGCCTAGGGGTAGACCCATTCTGGAAGAGATCCCAAGTCCCCAGATTGTGTCCAGGGCCTCTTCTGTATGCTTCCCTCCTGATCATCACAATGGATGTCAATGTGTTCTGAGTGGGACCCTCTGGGCAGGGACCAGGTCTGGGTCATCTTCAAGTCCCAGGATTCAACACACAGATATGTGAGCTGCTTTGAGAGTTTAAGTTTCTTCCTTTCCACCCTGGGGCAGTGTTTCCCGTGTCTTGCACCTCTCCACTGGGCCACCAGAGGTCAGACAAAGCCCAGGTGTTTGGGGCTCAATGTTACCCCCACGGAGCCCTCAGTAGAGGGTGAAGCTGCATCCAAATCCGCTGTGACCCCGCATCCCTTCCCAAGCCCCAGCTCCGTCCCTAGACACCCTGAAAGCTGAGGCCAACCTCCTCCTGTCTTCAGCCACTCCTTGCCCCGCCTCCCCCGGCTTAGCTGCAGGGGACATGCCACTTACCTGTAGATCTTACGGTAGGAGAGGTCACACCAGTAGATGCGATTGGTGGCAACTTCGACATCGAGTGCCACAACGTTCTTGAGCATGGGGATAAGGCGTGAGTAGTCCCGCTTCACCAGGTCTATCCTCCGCACCTCGTGCCGGTTGGTGAAGATGAGGGACGGGCTCTTGCCGGCTGCCATGAGGGAAGGTGGGGAGAGAAGGGGTCAGCGCAAGAGGCAGGGAGTCTGGAGACCAAAACTCTGCCACTGCTTTGCTGGGTGAGACAGCATTTGCCTACGTGATGGAGATGAGAATTCCTACTTCACAGGTTAGAGGAGCAGATGACAGAACGAGTCCCAAGTGTGTACGATGCAAAGCACCACACGTGACAGAAGATGATGATGATTATATTATTATTTTTGCGTTGGAGTCTCACTCTGTTGCCCAGGCTGGAGTGCAGTGGCACAACCTCGGCCACCGCAGCCTCAAGCTGCTGGGCTCAGGCGATCATTCTGCCTCAGCCTTCCAAGTAGCTGAAACTGCAGGCATGTACCACCACACTCAGCTAATTTTTTTATTTCTTGTAAACATGAGGTCTTGCCAAGTTGCCCAGGCTGGTCTCGAGCCCCTGGGCTCAGGCAATCCTCTCGCCTCGGCCTCCCAAAGTGCTGGGATTACAGGCTTCAGTCATCATGCCAGGCAGGTTTTTAAATTATTTTTATCAGATACAACCTTCCCCCAAATATTTTCTGAATCCCCATTTCCTCTGTAGGCCTGCACTGAGGGCCTTCCACAGCAAGGCCCTAAGCTCCCGGTCCGGCCTCATCCACTCACCCTCTAACATACTTAGACTCCAGCCACTAGACTATCTGTCATTGCCTAGGCCTGGAAGGGCTTTGCCGCCAAAGGGCCTTTGCTCAAGTTGCCTTTCCACCTAGTATGCATTTCTTTCCATCAGCTGCCACCTGCTCTGCTTGGGCTCTACTGCCATAGGAACCACCTGGCCCGGCACAGTGGCTCATACCTGTAATCCTAGCACTTTGGAAGGCCAAGGCAGGCGGACTGCTTGAGTCTAGGAATTCAAGACCAGCTGGGCAATATAGTGAGACCTCGTCTCTACAAAAAATTAGCCAGACGTTGTGACGCACACCTATAGTCCCAGCTACTCAGGAGAGAAGGATCACCTGAGTCCAGGTCGAGGCTGCAGTGAGCCATGATTATGCCACTGCACTCCAGTGTGGGTGACACAGTGCGACTCCAACTCAAAAAAATAAATAAATAAATAGGAAAACGAAAGAGCTACCTGAACAAGTAAGTGTCTTAGAGAGATAACTCAGGATGGAGGACAGACATCAGAGCCAACACTGGAGGGAGGAGGCACTCAGGGAGGTTATTGTGAGTCTTCACTTTATGCAAAGTGTTTCTCACAAGAGATGAAGTTGGAGAGATCGGGAGGGACCAGATCATGCAGGGTTCTGTGAGCTGGGGGATGAGTCTGTCTTCTATCCTGAGCCAGTGGCAGAGATGGAACATGTATGATGCACGACAGATTATACACATGCAGTGGAGACAACACACAACTCCCCATGTATACACAAAACCCATTTTAGACTCAGTGACCTAGACAGTCCCGGCTACTCTCCGTTGGAAGATTACTGTCCCACAGGCCGGTGTGGGCCAAGCACCAGCTCCCACGGGCTGGTTTTAGACGCACTGGGCCACTCTTAGGCACCAACACTGAGTGGCAGCTTGTAGCAACACCGGCCCCTGAAGCTGCCTGTGTTTTCGCCCATTCCTGTTTCCCGGCGGACACTTCTGCTGGCCACCTGGTGCCTGTCACTGTGCATCTGTGCCAGGCTAGTGTGTTCCCTGGGGGCAGGGAAGGACCAGCACAGAGCCATGTAGGGCCTGGCACTGGGTGTGTGACTTGTGTGTTGGGATGGATGCTATTTCAAAGCAGGGTGGAGGTGAGATGAGGGTGTGGTACATAGCACAGAAAACGAGCTGAAAGTGCCGGAAGGGGCATGGAGGAGAGCTGGGTTCCAGGCCAGCTCTGCCGCTGACAGACTGTGGCTTTTCTCACCCCAAAATGAGAGCAATAACACTTTTCCTCCATGAAGGCAGGAGCTGGGCTGAAGGGGCATGTTAAAATGATTCTAAATGACAGCTGTGTCTGTGACAGGGACCCTGTGTGTTATGTGAGATTTTGAGTAAGCCACTTTAGATACTCGTGTGGATTTTGTGAACACATGGGTATTGTGTTGTCTCCACTTCCCATATATGGCCTGTGTCATTTATTACATGTGTCTTATGTGGGGGCAAGAACAGGTTCTATGTTCCATGTGATGTACTAGTGCATGTGTCATGTATCGTATAATCTGGGTGGTATGCTTTTGAGGCTTACTGTGTTATAATTGATGTATTGCATATTGGATTTGTGCATATGAAATCAACTTCCATAACCAACTGCCTAGTCAGTCTCTCCACTTGGACATCTAAACAGTTTTCTTAAACTTAACACGTCCAAAACAGCCTAATAATCCCCCAGATCTGCTTCTCTCACCACCTTCCCCAAGTCTATAAATAACAATTCCATTTTTTCCCACTGAAAACCTTGAAGTCATCATTGATCTATGAGCAGATCTTGTTGGCAGCCTGCGCATGCTATGTGCGGTCTGCCTACTCTCGTTCTCCCGCTGCAGCACTGTGGGGCTATGGGCAGCCCCCTTACTCTCTTCTGATGGCCACAGTAACCTCTCAAGTAGGCCCTGCTTCCCCCACTGCCCGGCAGTCTGGCAGCCTGTTCTCGACACTGCAGTCACAGGAGCCTGGGAAAACAGCACTCTCTGTCCCTCCTCGATTCAAAAGCCCCAGTGCTTCCCCACAGTATAGAGTGAAATCCAGAACCAGCCCTTACAAAGAAGGCCCTTTGGGATCTGCCCCAAGCCACCTCTCTGACTTCATCTTTTTCTAGTTTCCTTGTTCTAACTGCACCACCTTCCTCACTGTTCTTTGAAAACACCAGGCATGTTCCCGCCCTAGGGCTTCTGCAGTTTCCTGCAGCCTGAAATGCTGTTCCTGCGATGACTGTGTGACTCCCTCTCTCACCTCCCTCACTTTCTTTACTCAAAGGCCACCTTTTCCATGAGGGTGTTCCTGACCATTCTATTTAAAACTATAACCCACTGCCTTGCTGGACTTCCTTGTTCCCATTCTCCACATTATAGTTCTCCCTAGCCCTTATTGTCATCTTCCATGCACTCTATCTATCTATCTGATTTCTAGTCTGTCTCACCAATTAGAATATAAGTACCCTGAGGGCCGACAGAGATTTGTATCAGTTTTGCTTACTGCTGAATTCCCAGTGCCTCTAACAGTGTTCGGATTTCAGTAGAAACAACTGAGCCAAATGAATGGATTCAGCTGACTGAATTGAGCATGTGTAGCTCTTTGTGTGGGCTGCCTAAGCTTGTGTGTAGTCTGTGGTCCAAGTTTGTGTCTGGACATTCTGTTGTGAGTGGAATCCCTGGGCTATATTGGGTGGCTCTATAAAATGTCTGGGTGGGTGTTTGTGTGTGCATTGTGTATTTTCTTTTCTTTTCTTTTTTTTTGAGTCAGAGTCTTATTCTGTTGCCCAGGATGGAGTGCAATAGCATGATCTCCGCTAGTGCAACCTCGACCTGCTAGACTCAGGCGACCCTTCTGCCACAGCCTCCCAAGTAAATGGAACTACAGGTGTGAGCCACCACACCCAGCTAATTTTTTTAAAAATTGTAGAGATGAGGTCTCCTTATGTTGCCTAGGTTGTTCCTGAACCCCTGGGCTTAAGTAATCCTCCCGCCTCAGCCTCCCAAAGTACTGGGATTATAGGTGTGAGCCACCGTGCCAGGCCTTGTGTGGCATATATTTATGTTTTGAGCACTGTGTGTGCCACCTGCTTTCTATGTGTGTGTGCACGCCTGCATGTCCGCTCCTCACATATGTGGAGGCATGCTGCTTCCTGTATCCCGTTCAGAACTGTTCCCCTGCCTTGGGGGCATCCATACCAACAGCCTTGCAGTTCTTGGTCAGTATGTCCATCTCATAGCCAGGGTAGCACTCGCACTTAAAGTAGCCCTTGTAATTGACACAGATCTGGCTGCAGGCATCTGGGTCCTGGCACTCGTCGATGTCTGCAGGGAGGAGCAGGGGTAAGAACGGGCAGGAGGCTTTGCCTCTGCTTGGGGTGCAGGGGGAGGTCTCACCGCCACAGGTCTTCTGGTCCAGGAGCCGGAAGCCCGCTGGGCACGTGCATTCAAAGCCAATCTTGAGGTCAGTGCAGATGTGAGAACAGCCGCCATTGTTGTGCAGACACTCGTTCAGCCCTGGGGAGGGACACAGGCTCCTGAAGGTCCAGGAGCCCAGAAGG